GTAATTGGCTTAATGTTTCCCTTTTTAACAAGCATGGGACATGCCATGATCTCACACAACGCAAACACACTCAGGCTTCTTCATTTCTCTGTGCATCACTCTATTTTAGGATATTCCCCTAAGCAGTGAAGCACGCGGAGGCTCACTGTGCTGCAGCTCTTGGAAATGCAATAGTTACAGAGGTCCGTTAACCGTCTGCTTCATACAGAAAGAAAGTACTGTTTGGATTGCTTGTGTAGAGAGCAAAGAACAGGAGTAGGACCTCTGCCATCACAGCAGTCTTTCTTCCCAGGGAAAGACCAAATGAAGTTGGTACAGTTAATGAACACGAAACATGTAGAGTAAAGATCTGTCCTCGCCTGGCCAGAGACATGAAGACAGTACTACCAATCCCAGGAGCAGCAGGGTACGGGGAGCCTTAATTCATTTACACAATCAGAATGAGCGCATCCAAATAGATTCAATTTCCCTTTTATAATTGTTTCAATTTTGTAACACATTGCTAGAAACTCTTCTTGGCAAAAAGATGTAAAAGCAATGAAGACAAACATGAGCCAAAGTACAATGATCTGACTGATCCTTTTGTAACTAACTAAACATAAACAAGGATTAAACATAGCTAACTTCTGTTTACTATTCCAATGACAAAATCACTTTTAGAAGAGTGTTTACAAAAAGTGCATATTGTTTCAGGCCTTCTGAGATCTAGCTCTCCGCAGAAATCATTTGTAACAGTCAAATGTTTATCATTTACAGCATTTCAAACAGGGTAACCCCAGGAACTGGAATGCAGCTGGCAGATGGTAAAAGAAATTAAGCTCATGACATGGTTCAGTAAACAGCAAATTACGGTAAGGTGGAGGTGCTTCCCACCACAAGACAACTGCTGCACTTGGGAACTTTCTAGGGCTCCACTGAAACACACCAAAACTTCCCTGACTTCTGACAGTGCAAAGCCAGACAGTAAAACTTAACTTGCCAGCTTACCTTGAGACTGAAACCCAGTGTGCAAGCAACCCTTTCCCAGCTCTTCTGTCTATCCTCTTTACCAGGAGCTGCTCTCCTGTGGAGCCTGGCAGCGCTCTCCAGGCAGATAACTACATGCCACATGATTAGGAGTGTGGGATAGGGGCATAGGGGATTTACATAGATCTGTGCTGGAAATGGAAATCGGAGATGGTATTTTCATTTAACCTACTTAAAAAAAAAAGGAAAATGACCGTATGCTCTGGGTTACAGGGGAGTGAAAAAAAGACTGCTTGCAGAGCATTAAAGGACCAGGTACAATTAAATAGCTTCCCAGTTCTGGAAATCAAAACCTGTAACCCAGTGTTCAAGTTGGAAAGTCCTGGGAGAAGGGACTGATAATATACTTTGTATTTAAGCCTCCTTCCTTTCCCAAAGAATCAACATACTCCCTCCCTGCCCCTTGAAGACTTTTTTTTTTGCACTGCTTTTCCCTATCTTCCTGTTGGGTGGAGACTGCTGGAAACCACAGACTAACAGTATACTTCAGTGTACAGGCAACTAGAGACAAACACCATTATCGTCACCTTTCCTAATACAGCCACAATGCTGAACACGCAAGGAGTCTTGCGGAAGGACACCACATAGATACTCCTGCAATCAGCCTGCTGCCATGTTCTTCCACGCTGGCGTCCTTCCTACTCACATTTCATATAATCTCCCTATTTAAAAAGCTCTGTAATTCTCAACATTACCACTGAATAATATATTTATTAATTTGTTAGTGCCACTAACTGTCCCCGAGGCTTTTCTTGGGAATGTGTGTCAGCTTACTGATTCTAGCCCTCTCCTCCCTGCACTGCCTTCTTCCTCTGCCAGGCAGGCAGGAACGTACTTCTGTGCTGCTTCAGGTCATAATTGGAAAAAAGATAGAAATGTTCAATATGACTCATACATAATTCAGCTTATCAGCTACCCAGGAGAAATGAGAAGAGAAGGTATATGCACGTCTATTTCTCCTACTATCAACAGGAGAAATAATTTCCAGTTACATTAAGTATACGTAGTTTGGTCACAACAGGATTTGTGGTTAGAAAGGAAAAATGAGAGACATGGGAGTGGAGAATGAAAGGGTAGTAGGGAACCGAACTGTTAAGAGAGATTCACTCATGTGAGAATTCCCCATTCCTCCAGGAGACTGGACTCATGCTTCTCTCTTAATATTCAGAATGGAATAAGTTGGCAATTAGAAAGGATTATCTGTCTCTGATCTGTAAAACATCACAGAAATCTAAACAAAATAAAGCTCCAGATTAGTTAGCTACAAAGACATCTAACAACAGCCTGCTAAACCCTGACTGTGACTTCTGGATTTAATGTTAAGGGCTATGTTCTAAAGAGCAAATTGTGAAGAAGCATTAAAACTTATTGTTATAAAGGATTTTTAATGTAAAAATCAATATGTGCTGTGTATTTAGCAGCATGTAACCATGAGGACGTCTATGATAGAGCTTTGTCATGCATGAGGGACCACTGCATTAGTCAAATTCTTGAAAGGAAGCGCAGAATGTCTGCATCATTCAAACTGCCACCTGAGAGCAATTACAGAAATTATTTTAACCCCAGAAGCAGAGGACAAATCCAATCCTAGCTGACAGTCTTGAGGGTATCAAGGGTTCCACATGAAATGCATCATTTTCAAATACCTCTACAAAATTCATGTTAGCAAAGCGATAGCATAACAGAGAGGTGGGGCACTTACCACTATTTTTTGGAGGCCACTGAGACTAAACACAACCACAACCAGGACACTGAGTTGCAATATCCACTTTGCCAACATGTAAGCAAACAAAGGAATATTAATAAAAAGAATTCACACTCCCTAAATGCAGAAACAGCATAATCTAAGGCAGATAACACAGAACAATAAGATAGAATGGCTGCAAAAAAACCAGACCTGTTCACAGAACATCTTGGATTTTTTCTTAAATAGAGATACATCATAACAGAGCTCATCTTCGTCAGTCAAGACAACATAAGACACGCATGTAGCTCTTCATTCTCTGTAATCAAGCTCACAACTCTGTATGTATCAGCACATACAAACTGTTATATAGCAAATATTTCTTAATTTTGCCCATTACGAGAGTGCCTGGCAAGGGGTTGATACTCTTCAGTTAGAGAGGAAAACGCAGCCCCCCAGCCTGCAGATCGTTTTTGACCTTATGGGGTCATGTTAAACTAGCATTACTCCCGATTAAAGGAAGTTTCCAAACAGAAAAGCAGGCTCTGTGCCTGACTGGTAATGACTTTGCTTCTGTAACTCTTAAATAGTGTGCATACATGTCTTTTCCCATCTCTGGTGTTTCCTAAGATTCCCTATTTATGTGGTGGTCTGCAAGTTTTACCTCATCAGGAAATCAGCAGGAGCACCATGGAGCTGAGAAATACTGTTGTGCTCCTTTATGCAATGCATGTCTCTGTGGGCCCCTGAACATTTAACACAGAGCAAATAAATTATTAGTGTGTGTGTGCATGTGCATACATATCTAAGATACATAAAGGCAACTGCAACCAAAGGAAACAGGAATGCGCGTGGAACAGTTGGGTATTCAAGTATCTAGTATCACAAAAATCCAGTTGCAAGAACGATTTAAATGTAGATCTGCACGTAAACTGCTGAAGGAGCTCCACTGAGCTTTATGCACTCACATACATGGCTGCACAGGCAAGAAGTAACAAAAAAGATCTGCTTTTTTACCCCAATAATCTTCATGTCTATAGCACCTGTTATCCTATTCTTAATAATACTACTACTGAAGAGCAAGCTGATCCTTTACGATGCCCCACCTCCAGAAACAAGAGACACAATCACATCAAGTATTGAATGATTTCTATGATTCCCATCACCACAGTGTCTGAGCACATTACAGTTGTTTAATGTATTCTTTGTCACAGAGCAGAGAGGAAAATATGATTACCTCTACACTATAAATGGGGATGGGAGAACAAGGGACAATAGGTAACTTGTCATGTATGGGTGGCACACTCACCATTGGGATAACCAGTCTCCGCTGGTTCAAAATCATACAACAATAAACGCTTTCCAGTCTAGTTTTTTATTTACTGAAAAGTTTCTACATCAATCCATATACACCAAGCAATTTGCCTAAGCCTTTTCCCGCTTGTCTTAGTAAATGCAAGTTAAAAAAAAAAAAAAAAAAAAAAAAAAAATCCATTCAGACAAATGCCCCGGATTTGTAACATCTCAGTACATTTACAAAATCCTACATATAAATAAATACTACAACACATTGATGTGCTAACAAAACCCCACATTTCCTTAAGAGCAAACAATAATTTTGACAATCTAATATAAAAAAATCATCAACTGATCACAAGCCTTTTTATATCTAATACACTGTTCCTTCACAAAACATTCCATTTAGAAGAAACAACATAGCAAGCAAAGTAAAACCTGCTCATGTAGCAGACAAGGATCAAAATCTATTCTTTACCAGGAAAAACAGAATAACAAGTTGTGACTACAGTGAAAAGTAAACCCCACTAAATTCCACATCAAACTCAAAATATGAAGAGTAACCTGAAAATCTATTCAAGAACTGTGCCGATTTAATCAAGAAGGTGCAGCAACAGAGATTAAGTTTCTGACCGTCAGATACAATTCTTAGATACCCTGAAGACTGGTAACGTATCAAAGCGAACAGATGAGAAAAGTATACAAATGTCTCTTCAGCTAGCCCTCCAAGTTAGAAACGACACACCTCAATCAGACAATACAACTAAAACACTTTAAAGAAAGTTCAGAATCTGCAATCTGTTCATGATTATCTCAAAAATATTAGGTTCTATCACTAGGAGAAATTATAGCAAATGGTACAGGAAGAACACAGCTTTTTCCAAACCAACCTAGAGCATCAGCATGTCATTTAAAAGCACCACACCAACATGCAGCTACCAAAGCCAAAGCCATGTTTTCTGCCACCTAAGACATGAAAAAACTTCCCACTTACCTTCTAACACTGTTAATTTGGCACTTGTGTTTATCTCCCCAACACTATTGGTTGCTGTGCACTCATAGATAGCTTCATCTCGATGAACACGCAGGGGCTGTATCCGCAGAACTGATCCTGATCCATCATCAAACTCAATAACCTTTAACAATTAAAAGAAAGCACTTCTTTACTGATACCTTCTGCAACAAAAACCGAAAGTCAAAACAATCCAGGGCTTAAAAACCAAAACCCAAAACAAGCCCTGTAAGCTATAAAATACCATGCAATTAGTCAAGCATTCCAAGCCCAGAAATGCAAAAGTTTCAGTCAAGAACATATTTGTCCTTTGAGGAGGCCAGAGCAAATGAAGATCCAATGAGGTTCTTTATGAATCAATTAAGGTTGACAAATTATCAACCTGGTAATAAAGATGTGGATCTGATGATTTAAAACATCTGAGCCGTATTTGCACTAATGGTTTTACTAATCACACTGATAGCAATTTAGAGCCAACTTTCACCTTGATGGAAGAGCAGAATGATATACTCCTGTGGGATCACCAGGAAAATAGTAACAAAACTAGAATAAAACCTTGAGCATCTACAGTGCGTGCTAACTCCAGCAGAAAGTGAGGGGTTTTAATGTCCTTCAGCATTGGGTACTTTGCAACTCTGGCATAATCAACAATGATGTAATTACGATTCCTTCCCCAGCATAATAAATTAAGTCCTTAATAAATCATTGCCTTTCCATCCACCCTGCTCAGCTGTAACATGCATTACTCTAACTTCTACAGGGAAGAAAGAGGCATGTGTTCGTTTGCAGCTGGATTAATACAAGCTATTCTTTAATGGCAAGGCTGTGAAGGCACAGCCTTAGGCCACTGTTAGTGCCAAACTCATCCTTCTCCTATTACTGAGCACAGCAAAAGTTGGAAATATTAACTCTACTGCAGATGGTGACAGCATGAGGAAAAGCCGCAAGCCCCCCTCCTGTCACTTGGGAACTGCAGGGGGAGATGAAGAGACCAAGCTATACTTTGTTCCACACACATGTATGTCAGCCGAGCACCTGCACTACCCCCATGCAAAACTTTTACCCTATTTTCAAGAGCCCTGTTAGGAGTGCTTCTCACAGCATGAAGACCAAATGAGTGAAAACAGGAAGGAGAAAAATAATGTGCATCCAAACACTCTGTAGTGACAGGAAAAACAGGAAGAAATCAAAAGGTAACAAAGACCACCAAAAATCTGTTATTCCTCACGCTGGAAGGAATAGCCCTTCTGTTCTAAGTAATGGCAACAGCTTGCAAAAACCCCTAATTTGGGGTCAAGCAGACAGGACGGAGAAACGTGATCACCATAGTACATTTTAAGGAATTAAAATATTTTTTTTGAACACTCAATTTTAAATTAAATATGAAACTGTGACAAAATGCTAAACTTTCTATAACCTTTACACAGGATAGGGCTACTGCCAAATTTTAAAACAAGACAAAGTCAGATGCAGAGATTAATTCACTTCAGTGATAAGGACTAAAACGCTAAGAGATGAAACAGCAGAAAAGCTCTTTTGCCCTCACTATCCTTTGAACAAACGCTCTATGTGAGAGGAAGGGAGCTACAACTACTAAGGACCTGACAGACACTGACCAGAAATGCTGTTCGTTTGCTAATGATGGACACCTCTTTTGTGTAATAACTCAGCATGTGTACATCAGACTTGTCTACTGATTTTTTCATTAAAACTGAATTCCAATTTTCCTCCAAATAAAGACTAGCTTAGTAATGAGGTAAAATTAATAGTTATCTAGTAAAAAAAGAAAGATATTATTCACTATCTCCTAACACGATAAAAATGCCTCAACTGTGTATCACAACTGATGTGAATAAAGGTATGAAATTGCTCATATAAATGCATATAATATGCCATAGCCCTCCGGTCAGCCACAATAAGTACCAAATTCACTATAAAGGTTATATCTACTTTCAAATTAGAATGTTTAAATGGTTACTATACACAAAACTTAACCTTTATTAGGGAAAAATAACAATGTAAAACAAGATTAAAATTGATTACTTCAATCAAGGTTTTCTGCTCACATACAAAATCATGATTAAAATTGGTGACTTGAATCAATCCATTCTGGGCAGCAAAGTCATCTTGTGCTCCAGTCAGAAAAGCAAAAACATCAAAGACAGGGGATTAGAGGAGAGGCAGCAGAATGGTAGAAGGGTCACATTACCAAGGGCAGTTTTAGAGAAGAGAGCCCAACTCCAAAACAGGAAAGTGGAGAAAAAGGCAGAGGAAGTCTGTGAAAATGTATTTGCTATTTAAAATATGAACCAAATTGGACCCTTTTTCAAAAGCATTTCTGATACCTGCTCCTCCCTCTTACTTTCTCTCAGACTTTAGTTCACATGGAAGTCAATTCACCCTTCAAGACGACTTCGCCATTCCCCTTCCAAATGCATTTGTGGGAGGGATGGCAGTAGCCATCACTTAGAAAGCCTTCCAGTTGTGTTTTGGCATCCCACTTTTTAATTTCACTGGGGATAGCAGGCCAAGGAGATGCTTTATCAATTTTCACAATGAAAACAGAAAATTACTGCTAGATCCAACTATCACCTGCCATCCAATTTGGTGTAAGCCCCAGTCTCCCATCTGAAGAAGAATGCCCTACGTGCGTGCTTCCAGCATCATGCTCAAAGGACACCACCTGCTCTACAGATTGCGTTGCTGCAGGGAAGGAAACTTACTACAGCTCTAGACTCTGTATTGTAGTTATGCCGAGGTACCCGGGTTGCAGTGATGACTATTGTGTAATTAAGACCTGCAAACATCGGATTGATTACCGAATTTTTATTTTTGCTTTTTGTAATTACCTCAAACCGCTGAGAACTGACTTTCTTCCCCTTCTTCATCCATGTGATACGAGGTTTGGGCTCTCCTGTTGCCTGACACACAAAAGAGGCCACTCCTCCAGAAATCCCAATCTGATCTTCAGGAGCTTTCATAAACGTTGGCTTGCCTGGAAAAATAACCAAATCACCCCCATGAGGACACAATGTCAGATAAGCAAGGAATGTGTCATGTTAATCTAAATTATAAGATAATTGGTGCTCCTGCTACAAATCCAGGTTGAATGGCCTTGGCCACACATACTCAAGCGCAGACTGCAACATGACAAGCACAGTTTCTGCTTGAGTACCTTTTTTTTCTGAAATGAATAAAGTCCATCTGGCTTGCCTGTAAATGAGGGCAATAGAGGGCTCTCCCCAGCCCCCTGGGCATTCAATCAGGTATATGACAATTTGGAACCATTTTTATGGTTTATTTTTTTAATAAATGGATTTTTGCAGGTTTATAACATGGTCATAGCACTGGAAATTACAGAACAGCTGACACACCAAACCTACAAAATGTACCATACATTGACATTAGTTTTCCTGAAAGCTGTTAAGACATTTGTCAGAACTAATAGATACAGTCTTAAGTACACAAATAACAACCTTTAATTTCATTTTAGATGTGGATCGACATGAAAATCCTACAGTCTATAAGCATCTGGAAACCTGCACAGGCTGGCCTGTGCTTGGTAAGAAACTAATCACTAAAAGTGAAAGTCGGCAAAGAAACCAAAGTGACATTCAGGCCTGAAAGACTCAGCAAAAATGAAAGAAAAAAAATCATGTAACATTTTAATAAACAATAAAAGAAGTTTTATGAAAATACAGTTGTGTCTTCCAGATTTACATGACAGACTTGCATGGATAAAACTAGGCATCCAGGTTGAATGTTTGTATTTTTCTTCTGTACTCACTGTAAAAGAGAATTTTACAGTATGTGTCATCTGAGGGTCATTTTGAAAAACCGCTTTGTCCAAGTGAGAAGCGATTGATGATGTTGTATCCCTGTAAAGCACTAAAACATTTAACTCCATAGAGGGAGTTAACAGAGACCACCCATGATGTCATTCAGTGCACAGGTCGCACTAAGGCCACGTTTCAAATGCAATTCTGATCGACCACCTCAAAGATGAACCTGAGCTATAAACAGGGCAGACACAGCTGATGGGATGTAGAAAGGAGTGAGAGAAGAGACCTGTTCAACCCCAGGACACCGAACCAACGTCCCCAGCAGAGCTGGCGGGGGTTACGCATCTTCACACTCTGGACACGTCCACGAGTATGTCCCTGAGTGAGAGGGGGACGACATCTGTAAGCCCAGGTGGTTTAAACACTAAGCTTTTCATGAACTGAGGGCTGAGTTTCCCCAATCTAGAAGGGATACAGATTCAGCGACCCCAGAAGACGACAATCTTTAAATGCATCTTCCTAACATATAAGAGATTAAAACACTAAGGGTGCAGTTTCAAGCCACAGCTGAGCCGGCCCGGCTACTTGCAGCTACTGAAGAGGGCAGTGGGCCTTGCTCTGCTCCTCGTTCCCCTCGCCTCCAGCCACCAGTGCCCAAACCCCTACAAGCAGCTCCAGGGTCACCAGAGCCTCTGTGGAGCAGATTCAGGCCCCCAACATGGCAGAAAGCCGCTCCCCCCCACTTCTCTTCCAAGCTGGGTAGGGAGCACGGTGCCTCAGGGCAGGATTTGGGGGGGGGGGACTGGAAGATGGCGCCTCTCCCTCGGCAGCTGCAAGGGGGCACCTGCTGTGGAGTGCAACTTCACCCTTAAACAGCAATCTCTGAAGGCTCTGCTAAAGCTGCGGGACCCTCCTTAATCCCAGTTTCACCTTCTGGTTTAGCCCACGCTAAATGCTTATGCAGACCCCTCCCCCTCCCAGGCCAGGCCAGGCTCTGCCCTACTCCAGCATGGGGGGACCAGACCAGGGAGAGTGCTGAGGGCCCAGGATGCTTCTTGCTTCACACGCGGAACACCACTGTCTGCGTGGGCTGTAGGTGCCAAGGTGGTGGCGGGGGGTGGTGGTGGTGTCTCTGTGAAGAGATGTCAGGGCTGCTCCATCCACAGCCAGTTCCACAACAGCCCCACAGCAGGGCACAGTCAAGCTCACCACAGAGCCTGCGCCATGACACCAGGTTTAAGAAGGGGCAAAACGCCTCACGGCCGTGAGGAGTGAGGTAAAAGTGTGAGAAACAGCCCTGTGAGCACTCAGGTCAGAGCGGGAGGAGGAGCTCCAGGTGCCCGAGCAGAGACTCCCCTGCAGCCCCTGGAGAGACCACGGTGGAGCAGGTATTGCCCTGCAGCCAAGGTCAACCCACCACAGCTTTAGACCGAAGGACAAGGTCAGACCAGTTGGCACCACGTGGAGAAGGAACCACCAGCTAAGGACACGCTTAGCAGAGCGGGGCTGGTGGCACGCCACTCCTGAGGCGTCAGGACAGCAGACCCCTTCAAAACTGGCAACATCGGATGCTCAACAGGGACTGTGGTTGCGTGCCAGGGAGCCCAGCAACCGCTGACACAGACCACAGGCACCAGGGCCAACCCTGAACCCAGGTGATCTGGAGGTGACAGCCGAGACACTAAGCTGCAGGCCTGGACCTCTACTGCTGCTGCTTGCGCGGCTTTATTTCCAAAAGGCCTTTGCAGATGGTGGATCCACCAAGGTCAGCACTGTCCACGCAGAAGTGGATACCCATGCTCTGTCGTCAAGAAGCTTCTGTGAAGGAGTATCACAGATCTGACCACAGAAACGCACCACACACAGGCGTACTGAATTTCGCCATCCTTGGCGAAGGGAGCCCCAGGACTGCGCAAAGAAAATAGCTCAAAACCCAGAAAACACCTTTTAAGACATGATGGCTGCTGTCTGCAGTCTTTGGCACGTTGTCCTGACATAAACAGCAAGCAATTATTAAGTGTGCTTGCTTAACTGATGCTGATTTCACATATTTACTCATCTATAATCATGTCTATTTCTACTTAGTTTGTATTTACATATATCTGTGTTTATTCACCTCTCATCTATCCCAGTGAAATGTTAATTTACTGTTCAGGCTGCTATTGATTGCAGTGTGATTGACTGTTTTGCTACGCAGTGTGCTGAGCTGATGTCTTGTATTGCATTTCGGCAGTTGATTTGTTCTTTTGATTTTCTGTTATTTACTCTGTGATCTTAGTAAAATAGTGTAAATTTTTCAAATGACAAATACAGCAGAATCTGAAAACTTTTGTCCTTGAAGAATACAATGCAATTATATCTCTCGCTGTACACCTACTCCGCAGCTCGTACACTGAGGACTGACTTTACTTTTGTACATTTTAAAAAAATCAATACTATTAAAAACCAGAACAAAAGAAAACTGAATGTTCACCGGCAGTAAGACCTAAAAACCTGCCACCTTGTTCAGCTTGAGTTTACATTGTTGTAATGAATCTTTTTCCTCTGCACATTTAATTGAGCAACACTGATTTCTGGAACCATCTAAATCCACCAAGACGGATCACAAAAAGTATACCTGTACATAAACCAAATTCTCACACAGTCTGGGAAAGGGTATTTCTACAAAGCCATTTTAAACATTTGTATGCCCTAAAGTTCTGAAATGGAAGGAAAAGTACTAATTAAGCAAACCTAAAATCCTGAGTCCTGGCCCCAGGAGAACAGAGTCAGGCATAGGCATACATATTTTTATACTGATTGCTAACTGTTACAGCAAATCCCAAAACTTATCTCAGTGAGAGCTAACAGAAGTGTGACAGATCATCCATGAAAATCTTGGTGTCTGTGGAAAATGCATGCTAAGTGGACTAGACTACCTCCATACCTCCCCCCCAACCACCATCTCTTTAACTCTACTGCCCGGAAGAGGCTGCTGTGGGACACATCACTAGCTACCTCCAAAGGGCAGCAGTAACACCCACTAGGGACAGGGCCAGGTGATGGTTCAAGCAGTCTTTTTTAACCTGTTTTGAGTGTTTGCATTCTTAGGGTAGCCCTAGAAACACAACCAGAAAAAAAATAAGGATGTACTGAAAATACAATATTTAACCAGTAACCTAGTCCTTCTCATTTTCCCCCTTAAATTCAAAATGACCAGAATCTCCACAGAAGATTATGCACATGCCAAGCTTGAAGTTAACTGTCTGTTGTTCAAACAAACTACAAATAAATACAAGGAACTGGAATGTCTTTCACAGTGAAATCCTGGCTTTTTCTCTGATGACCCAAGGACCAAGCAAAGCTGAAGATGTTTTATTGAAACTTTAAAAAAGAAAAAAAGAGTGATTGTATTCCAAAGACAAATCTGTGAAGTATCAGCCTGAGAGAGAACCTCTTGCGCAAGTCTTGGGTGACAGCAGGGAGAGGTGCCGGAGGGCTGGGTGTCCATCACGCCCACCTTTCGTTTACTCCACCGTGTGGGGTAACTCCTCCAGACTGGTGTATTTGTCATTTGATAGCTCCAAGCCCAAACAAGTCCAGCCTCTCTCTCCCTGGCCTCTCTGCTCAGTGTCAGATCCCTGGAGCACATTCAGTCCTCACCCTCTAAACTAATTCTTGCTCTTCACTTCAGAACCAAGTTCCCACTACACCGGGAGTGGAAATTACTGCTATCATCATTTCTATTCACTCCTAAGCTTCAGGCAGGAGAATGGGAAAACTTTCACCTTCTTGGCTGAAATTTTCCCTGTTTGGTCTTTGCTCAAAACTAAATTATTCTAGAGAGCTTATGGGAACAACACAGTTCTGAGAAGGAAGACCGTGAAAAATAAAGTATTTTCTTACAAGAGAAAGAAACAGGCTTCATCTTATTTGGCTGGGGGCTGAAAAATAACAACTTGCTCAGACATGCTCTCCACTGAGAGACTTTAAAAAAAAAAACAAAAAAACCAAAAAAACCCAAAAAACATTTCAGAAGAAAAGGACTTTCCTTTTACAGTTGATAGCGTTGAAAGTCACTTGCTGAGCAAGCACGATTCATGGATAATCCTATAAAGTGACTGACAAGGAGGGCCTCGTGATGTGGAAGAGACGCTAGCAGAGATTTAGGCACACACGAGTCTACTTCACTACACTGGAAAACAGCAGCAAACTCATGCAGAGTCCTGGGCTG